CCCTCCAGGTCACCTGGGCTGGGGGCAGAGAACAAGACGCCCGCAGCCCCAGGGCCCACGGAATGGTTCCAACAGCCCACCACGGGCCTGCCCCACCCAGCGCTGCCCAGAAAGCCACCAAGGCTGTCCCCTGGCTCCCCCCTCCTGCCAGGCCTGGCGCTGCCCAGTGGCGCTGCCCAGTGGCCCTGCCCCGTGGCCCTGCAGGGCCCCCCACCCCTGAAAATGAATGACCTAATGGGAAGAGGGGCAGAAAGCTGGGCTTGCCCTTCCCTGTGGAGCCCCTCCAGCTCAGCGCCCGGGGCCCGCCCTCGTGGGTACCAATGCTGAGGAGCGGGCCCCACGGACGCGCCACCCAGCCAGCCGCAGCGCCACGGCATGGGGGGACGTGACCTCTGTGCTTACCCCAGGGACCCGGGGACAGGTGGACTCCCAAGGCCCAGAGACCCCAGGCGGGTGAGTCTCCCGCACGTCAGATGCAGCCACCTGACCCAAGACACAGGAAGGGGGACACCGGGTCACCTCGTCCTGGGCCCCCGGGGTACACGTCACAGCCTCTGCCCAGGACCTTGCCGAGGGACAGCTCCCACCCAGGGAACGTGTCCTGACTCGGCCCAGAGACCCCCTGCCACAGCGCCTCCTCTCCGCCGCTCTCCTCAGGGCCTTTGCTCCGACCCTCACTCGGGGCCCAGCCCAGCCCCGAGCTGACCACCCAGCGCCCCTGCACTTGAACCAACTCCTTGATGTCCCCTTTACACCTTTGGCTTCTCTATCGTCTGTTGTGTGACGTGGGACCTGAGCGTCAAGAGAGCCACTGGTTAGATGCCAGCAATTAAGGTGGGCACAGGGTGGCCACGGTCAGGGCTCCACGTGAAACCAGAGGTCCTCCGTGAGGTCAGGCGGGAGGACACAGCTGAGGCCATGTGTCCCCGAATCCCTCCAGAGTGTGGAAAGACAAACGCACCAGCCCGTGGCCAGGACAGCCACAGCCCTCGGGGAGTCTGACCGAGGCCAGAGCTACCCACCCAGGCCGCTTCCAGGCCAGGACACCCCTGACCGCGGCGGGACGCCCGTACCTAGCTGCGTGTCTTCAGGGTGAATGTCCACCGAGGCTGGGTGCATCGGAGAGTTGATGGCACTTTTGCCTTCTTCCTGCAGGTCACTCACTGTTGAGGGAAGAAAGAAAGAAAGGCCTGGTCAGCAGGAATGGACCAGCACGGCCCCGGCGCCCACCGTGGAGGGGAGGGAAGCTGGCCGACCCGCCACCAACATCAGCCAATGCTCCCACGGGGCCCACGGTATCCGAGGGAGAAGGTCCTGACCCAGACGCATCCTGCACTCCCCCCACACCGGTGAGCTCCCAGCTGCCACCGAGCCCGGCCAGTCTGTGTGGGCTGCTCCCTGGAGCCCGTGACTAAAGCACAGAAGCTTCTGGATGCTCCCAGATGTTTCCAGGGGCTTCTGGACCTGCCCGGAGCTGCTGGGGTAGCGCTTGGACAGCGGCATCAGGGCCCCTGGAGGCAGAGCCGTCCCCGTCCCCACTTGGAGGGCCCTGTGCTGTGCCGCCAGATGACAGCACGTTCTTCCACGGTCCAACCATGGACGTCACCCCAGCTGCACTTCGATGGCAGGCTCCAGCCCAAGACCCGGAGTCGGGGGGCGTGGGGTGCAGTCTGGGCACCCGCCATCTTTACAGCAGAGAACCTCTGGGATCCTGTAGTCCCTCATCTCACATCACAAGCTCATCTTCTCCACTGACCGCCTCCAGGGACAGCGCCGGCCACTCTGCCCAAAGCCCCTGCTCCTTGAGGGAGCGTAGCCGGAGTAAGAGCCCCTGCCTCAGACCGCGAGACTCTGGGCTCCTGGCCTCCGGGCGACTGGTGACACGTGACCCTGGGATGACGGCTCTGGGCCCCGCCCTGGCCGCCACAGGACCCCACGCCAGTCCCACCAGCCTCTCGGTCTCCTCACTTGGCACTTTCAGATGAAACTGTCAAAATGCCCGGCCCCCAACCCTCCTGGGCTGCAGGACATGGTGGGCGTCAAGTCCCGGCCAAGGGCCAGGCTGCAGGCCCCCGTGGGCCCCCCGTGGGGCAGACGCAGCTCCAGCCTGAAGACGGGCCCCGGGGGGAACCGTGGGGCCACCACTGCCCGGCGTCCAGCGTCCAGGTGAGGGCCACAGCAGAGCCCCGTGAGGTGGAGAAAGGCACCAGCTCACCTCCCGGCTGCTGGCCTCCTGGTGTCCGCCCAGGAGTGAGGGGAGGGGAGTCCCAGACCTCCTTGGGGTGCCCCCCGGGTCTTTCTTTGGGAAACAGGATGCCTGGGGGGACTGCAGCCCTGGGGTTGAACATCAGCCCTGGGGACCCACCCTCTGCCCCTCTCAGGGATGGCGGCAGCGGAGCCCCAGGACGCTGGCCCCTCTCACGTCAGCACAGGGCCGGACACTTGGCTTTGGGGAACTGGCCCCTCCTACACCCCTGTCCCCAGCAGCAGGATTCACAACAGCAGGTGAGGATGACCCCAGGTGCAGACAGACGCACGGTGAGCAAGGTGCAGGGGATCCCCACAGAGGAGTACTACTCAGCCTTGAACAGGAGGGGATCCCGACACCGGCCACTACAGGGTGCGCCTCGAGAACACAATGCCCAGTGGAACCTAACCCAGGCACAAGACAGATGCCGTGGCCGGAGTCCCCCCACGTGAGGCCCACAAGGAGACCCAAGATGGAACAGAAGGGCGCTGCCAGGGGCTGGGGCAGGTGCCCACACGGGCTCCTCTTGGACGGCACGGAATCTGGGAAGACGGAACAGTCCTGGAGGAGGATGGCGGTGATGGCACCAGGATGGGCGCCAACTTGACGCCCGCACGGGGCATTCGGAACGCTCGGGGCTGGGCGGCTCGGTGGCACCTCTGGCTCCAGGCCAAGGCTGCGCGCTCCGTCCCCAGCAGCCATCCGAGCCGGGAAGGCGGGCGTCACGTTGTATTTTATCAAGTACCTAAAGGGGCCGCTCCGGGGGTGGCCGACGCTGCGGTCTGGAGGCCACCTGTGCCCAGCCCCGCGGGCACAGACCCCGCGGCATCCTGAGCAGACCCGGGCGCTGGCCCCTTGGATCCCAAGTCCTCGCCAGAGCTCTGTGCAGGAAGCTGCCGTGGTGAGTCCTGGGTGGCCACGGGGCGAACATCCGGGGTCTGCAGGGTCCCCCGCCCCTTCCTAGGGAGCCGAGCCCACGGCTCCAGGCCACTGCAGGCTTAGTCACAAAGGACGCGACTCTCAGGGTCTCAGACGGCACAGGCGGTTGTTCAGAGACCCCCGTGTTTGCAGCAAGGTGAACGGGGGTCTGCAGGGGACCATGGGCTTCTCGGACCCAGATCCCCAGCTGGTGTCACAGAAGGGGACAGAGGAGGCCAGGAAGGTCCCCCCCATCCCAGGCCAGTGTAATGGTCATGCCGGCGGGAAGAACCAAAGACCAAGGTTTCCTTAGAATAAGGTCTTGGAGGCGGGCCCATGGGCACAAGGGAGCCGCGAGAGCCACCGCGAGGGGACACAGGTCCTCTGGGTCCCCAGGGCTTGCTGCAGGCCATCAGCCCCCAGCTCCAGACACAGGGAGGAGGGGAGTCAGCTTCTGCAGCACAGGAGCAGGCCAGGTGAGGGCAGAGACGTCTCCACGCCGACCTCGAGCCAGGGCCACGCCGTCCCCGAACCAGGGCCACGCCGTCCCCGAACCAGGGCACCGTGACCGTCTAGAGGAGAAATGCACTCCCACCCTGGTCAGCCGCACGCCCAGGGCCTGAGGGAAAGGGTTGGGGGAGGACAGTGCAGACCCCGGCCCACAGCAGGCCCAGCCTGCACTGGCCGCCCCAGGAGAGTCCCCGCACCTGGCCAACCCAGGTCCCGACAGGCGCGGGTGGCAGGAGTACCACCCACAGAGGTGTGAGGCACAGGACGGTCCCGCACTCGGCTGGAAACGCAGTCCACGGTGGCAGGCACAGCTGTGCACAGGGCTCCCTGACGTGGCCCCAGGACACCACAGACAGGGACAGGGAGGTGAGGAGGTGGTCTTAGTGGGAGAGCCAGGGAGGCTTCCTGGAGGAGGAAGCAACCACAGAAGCGGGACCTCTGTGGAGCACCAGGGTCACAACGCAGAGCCACACCCAGAGGGTCCTCCAGCCTGCCGCCCGGCCACGCCTGGGATTTCCAGGGGACAGGCCCCTTCACTGACGCAGCGTCCCTCTGAATGGCCTTCCAAGGACCCAGCTTCCCCGGCCCAGGGCTGGCCCTGCCCGTCCAGCTTCCCCGTGACCCCAGGAGTGGTTGGGACTTGAAGCGCTGGTCCATTTGCCAGAAAGACAGTACCCCACAGAGGGGTGCCAGCTGTCCCAGGTCACAGAGAAGGACAGGCACAGCCAGGGAGCGGGCACAATCCCTGCCCAGCCGAGCCCGCAGCCGGTGTGAGGGATGGACGCAACTTCATGAGGGCCCTGATTAAGGGGGAAGGGCCAAGTCCTTCCTCTGGCCTGTCCTCCTGAGTGTCCACGAAAACCCCACACCAGCCAGGACAGACACCCCAGAGGCTCCGCTGCACCAGGGCTCCCTGCAGAGCCAACGCTGGGGCCAGTGGGCGGCCAGGGAGGAATGGTGGAGAGGCACTGGGCGGGGGGGAGAGTGGGAGGAGGGACAGGGAGAGGGAGGAGGGAGAGAGGACAGGGAGGAAGGAGAGGGGACAGGGAGGAGGGAGACGGAGAGAGGAGGAAGAGGGGGAGGGAGGAGGGAGAGAGGACAGGGAGGAGGGAGAAGGGATAGGGAGGAGGGAGAGGGA